CAATTCCCAACGTTTTCACCTCCTTTCCCCCAACTCTCCTACCTACTGGCCCACAGATCCCAACCGTAATCCTGATCTTCTTGATTTCTTTATCCACAGCTGCTTAAGTCCCCTCAATTGTTCCATTACACGTCTAAATGAACTTTCCTCTGACCATAGTCCTCTAATCCTTAATGTTTCACTTGAACCTGTTCCCAAACCTTCTCCACCGTCATTCATTAGGAGCCCAGTAAACTGGGACCTTTTTCGCCAAATAATCTCCGATAATATTGATCTCAACATATCCCTCAAAACTCCCGATGACCTTGATAGTGCCGTAAATTCCTTTACTACCACAATCCAACAAGCCGCCTGGACTGCCTCCTTCCCAAAAGACTCCTCCAGAATTCCTATAAAGACCATTCTACCCCAACACCTCCTTAACCTAATCCGCACCAAACGCCGTGCCAGATTATTATGGCAACGTACCCAACATCCTACCGACCGCTGCTCCTATAATTACTACTGCAAACAATTAAAACTGGAATTAGCCACCTTCAGATCACAATCCTTCAACTCCTACCTATCCTCCCTCTCTTCTCGCGAAAATTCCCTTTGTAAAACCACAACAAAAATCCTAAATCCTCACCGCATTTCCCATCCTCTCCGACGAGGTGATGGCTCCTGGGCAGCATCTGACGAAGATAAAGCTGAGGAGATCGCCATTCACCTATCCAATACATTTATTTCACATCCGGAATCCCATCCTGCCCACACCGTAACAGTAGAAGAACTCCTTACATCACCAATCCCACTTTCCTTGCCCCCAAAAGCTATTCATCCTTCCGAAGTAAAATTTCAATTAAAAAAACTAATCCCCCGTAAAGCTCCTGGACATGATCTCCTTACACCTCAAATCCTTCGACAACTTCCATCCAAAGCAGTCATATTCCTTACATATATCTACAATTGTATCCTACGCACCACCCACTTCCCTCTGTTATGGAAACACTCCACTATTATCCTTTTCCCAAAACCAGGAAAACCTCTCAATAGCTCTACATCCTATAGACCAATCAGCCTACTCCCAATCCTTTCAAAAATTTTTGAAAAGATCCTTTTGAAACTAATCCTAACCATTATAGAATCCCAAAATATCCCTTCCTACTCATCAATTCGGATTTCGTTCCCAACATTCCACTGTCCAGCAAGGACTCCGAGTTATTGATCATATTTCCTCAGGCCTAGAAAACAAGGAATACTGTTCGGGTGCCTTTCTGGACATTGCACAGGCATTTGACCGGGTATGGCAGTCCGGACTGCTCTCCAAGCTTAAAATCCATTTACCTCAGCCCTTGTACCTAGTCCTCCGATCCTACCTCTCTGACCGCTCCTTTCGAGTTCGCAGTGGAACAGAATTTTCCAATATCTACTCCGTTAAAGCCGGTGTTCCCCAAGGCAGCGTCTTGGGTCCCGTGCTTTACCTCCTCTTTACTGCTGACATCCCTGTTCATCCCGATACTTTTCTTGCAACATTCGCTGACGACACCGCAATCTTATCATCCAACTCTGATCCCGAAATAGCATCCTTAAATCTCCAAAGTCACCTCACCTTGATTGAGCACTGGTGTAATAACTGGCTCATTAAAGTTAATGAATCTAAATGCCAACATATTACCTTTACACTCCGACGCAATTCCTGTCCACCAGTACTCTTTAATTCCATCCAGCTTCCTTATTCAGACACAGTCCGGTATCTTGGCTTTCATTTAGACCGAAGACTAACTTTGAACCCGCATACTAGACTCAAAAGATAAGAACTCAACCGACGATACGGCCAACTATACCGACTACTAAGCAGAAAATCTAAACTTTCCATTGAAAACAAGCTACTGATCTAGAAGACAATACTGAAACCTATTTGGACTTACGGACTAGAACTGTGGGGATCAGCAAAATTTTCTATTATCAAGCGCATCCAATCCTTCCAGTCTAAAGTCCTTCGAACAATAGTCGATGCTCCTTTCTATGTATCCAACAAAACCCTACATCATGACCTTAACATCACATTTGTCCTAGACCTTATCCCAGAAAAATTCTCCAAATTTCACCAGAACCTTACTTACCACCCAAATCCTCTTGCACAATCCCTATCAAGCATCACCCATCCCTATAATCCTCCAAGAAGGTTGAAACGGCAGTGGCCTCGCGACCTTTTGTAGATTGTATAAATTGGAGTTCTGGCAATGGCCAGATTCTTCACTCAAGACATGTGTGTATGTGGCTAAAGTGCTCTCGACCAATCTCCGCTGGCTTTAGAACCAGTGACGCGGTTGGGAGAGTAGCGCAGGGTTCTCCTGGAGTTCCCTCGCCTGATTGTATATAGGTATGCATGTGTTTTTTTTTTTCTTAGTTTTAATTTTCTTATTTTTTAGGTTATTTTATTTTATTGTCTATTGTATATACTTTTGATTATTATTTTGTTCTATTTATTTTATTTTTTTTGTACATATGGTGTGAATGTCATCCTACCTCACTATAACCAATGTCCAACAGACAGATTGTTATAATACTCAATAAAGAAATTTAAAATAGTCAAAAAAAAAAAAAAAAGTTACGTATTTTAGTTACATACATTTTTCTTCATCAAATCTAAACCAACATTACCTATTAGGCTTAAGGAAAGGATTTCGCTTGGGATTACAAGACGGTTTTGTTTTAAAAATATAGAAATCTAAATCTGTACGGAAAAATTCTAGTGACATAAATATTATAAAATTGTAAATTATATATTATAAAAACACTACAAAAAAGAAAACGGAAAATATTATTTAATTTTTCCGGACTATCAGAGATACATCATAAAAATAATGATCAAAATGAGAAAGAGATCCAAATTATGTATCCACTTTGCCGTTAGTGGGAAGGAGTTCAAGATGGAAATGGATGGATTCAATAAGGAGTCATTTTTCATGGTTTTTAGCTGTGGCAAGAGAATGATTTTTCATTGTGATAAAAGAATTATTAGAATTGGTTGAGATGTATAATTTGTTCATTTCTTATTCCCTATTTTAAGCTATCCATTTAACAGTGAATTAGACTATCCAAATCCAATCCCCAACGTCTTCTTTTTGCAAATAAACATGATTATTAATTTATCTCTGTTATTATGATTAGGAAAGATTCTATGTACTTTAATTCGCAAGATGCAACCAGTAAACTAAAACTTATGAAATCGGTTTAAAACATGCAAAGATTTTTTTAGACACATTTTTATTTTGCATAACTGTTGTGAATTTTAAGTGCCACATTTTTTTTTTACTTGAAAGCTATAACTAAAAAACAAAAATATGTTATTTAGATAATTACCAATTATTTCATAGTAAACTAAAAAAAAATTACTTCAAATAAAAGCATAAATTGTCTCGATTAAGATCATTTAAAGAGGAAAATTGAGCGGCTTAAATCTTTACATCGATGTAAAAATAAATAACCATTAGTATAAATTAGGTTTTATTCTCATTTTCTTACAGAGCTTAAATACCGAATGCCCACAACTTCTTCCTGTAAAATCAAAACTATAATTTATATTATTAAAAATAATTAAAGATCATACTTATTGTCAATAATAAATTATATAATGCAAAGTTTTAAACTGAAAGGATTCGATAATTAACTGAAAAAAAAGAAGGTAAAATATATAATTTTCATAAAAACGAAATAACTCATCTTTAAATATTTCCCATTACTTAGGGGACATTGTGTTTAGTTAAAATTCTTAAAAATTTGGAGATGGTTGACCGTGGATTCTAATTTTAGAAGAAGTCAGTCAGGGGTGCGGTCAAAAAGAACTGTATTATATTTAATAGTATATTCCGCTAATAAAATAAATATATATTTTAGTAATAAAATATACTATTATATAATATCGTATTTTTTGACCGCACTCCCGACTAACTTCTTCTAATATTCTTAAAATTTATTAAGAATTATTCATTTATTTTTTTTTCATTAACTCTACAGGTTCATCGGCAACCCCTTTTACGTACATTAGACTCGGTTATATATTTCAACTATTTTCAACATTTAAACTTGTTTTCACTGACTTTTTGCTGTCTTTCAAATAATTTGTTCAATTGTTCTTTGAACGCTACTAGTCTCACAAGTCGGAAGATTAGGTATATGAGAATTTACAATGCCCAATACTTAATCGGCGTCCTATGCAGATTTTCTTACTTTCACTAACTTTCTGACACCAGGATATGTACCCGTAAGCACCCGATTTCTGTCACAGGCATCAGTAGTCAAAACTACAAAATAGAAATAGAAGCAACAAAATCGGTTCAGTAGTTCCCGATAAAATATTGGCACAGACAGACAGACTAATGGCTAAAAATGTGTTTTTCGGACTCATGGAGCTTTGAAACGTATAGATCCGTCGAAAACCGCACATCGGAAATTTGACCCGATCGCAATACTTTCCTTACCTAGTATAGGTAGGAAAGTAATAAATTAAAACATGTGAAGAAAATAGAATACGCTGTATCAAAGTTTCTTTTGAGCTTGTTACTAGATCTAATTTTTGATTAAATTTGCGAACATAGGGCACTCATGAATAATGTGTTCAATTGTTCTTTGAACATTACTAGTCTCGTAAGTCAGAAGACCAAATCATTTTAGTGATTAGACATATGAGAACTTACAATGTCCAATCCTTAATCGGCATAGGACTGTTCTTCCTTCTTGGGGAGTAATAAGATTTCAATTTGAAACAGTTTCTTCTTGAGTTGTTCCTCGCTTTCTTACTGTATTGTTAGCGGCTAAAAAAAAAAAGAAGAAGTAAGAATTGATTATTTCTGAATGCAAAGGTGTAAGATAAAGTTGTGTGATGCTTATATTTATGTTGTGACTTATCAGATGGAATATGTGTAATATTTTTTAACTTCCTAATACAATTCATTTTATCTTGTTTTATTACCTCTAGTTCTACCTCGTAATAAGACTGATCCGTTTGGTTGCAGGTGGTACCACATCCAGCCAGGGTACGAGCCGAGGACAGTGAACGCAGGAGCAAGGACCCGGGTTCTGGGGCCGGTGCTGGCGGTGGAGGCGGTCACCGAACAGGACTCTGGCCTCTACAAGTGCACCGCCGAGAACACGGCAGGGGAGGCCTCTGCAGAACTCCGCCTCTCCGTCCTCGGCCAGCTGGTGGTGGAGGTTGACCCACCTCTGGCTGTCGTCAGGATGGGCGGCACTGCAGAGTTCAGGTGCATCGTGTCCCACGCCTCTTCGTCCCATCTCATCACTTGGTAAGTATAGCAGAACCTCTCTTACCAGGAATAATTTCGACACATTTCGGAGAAGAGACGGAAATGCATATTTCTTCATATTTGTTAAGCTCCATCAAGGCTTTACGTAAAAATCTACAGTAAAGCTTAATGTATGTTAAAATGTAGCATATTCAGTTAGCTGATTTTAAGTAAAAAGTTTCTGTCACATCTAAGGCATATACCTATCTTAAATACGTAATATCAGTTTCGTAGGACTTTTCATTTTTGAGCTAGACTGCTAAAATATAAACACACAGACACATAGACCATTTTTCGGGACTTAGTTATTTGTACCCCAAAACGTGTATTTCCGTTGAAAACTCAGATTGCAAAATTTTCTCGATCGCAATACTTACCCTCACCATATATTACATATATACGTAAGTTTTTGTTTTTTTTATCTTTAACTGTTTATCCGCTCCTGTCATGGTAATGACAATCAGCAGATGTGTATGTAAGTAAAAGTAAAATAAAAAATAATTATATAATAAAAATAATTTACTGTTTATTATTGAACAAAGCAAAACCTAGGCTCTAAGAATTAATGTTTTCCATTGCAACAAATTATAAACAGAAAATAAATTAAATCCAATTCATGCTTTATTAATAATGTTGCTCGAAATCGGTCTTGGTCGTGCACTTTACAACAGTTTCAGGGCCAAGACTAAGATTTGAATAGGAAAATCGTTTTTTAAATAAAAATTAAGGCAAAATAGTTACGAATACTTGACAATCTTAGTTACAATATGTAAAGAATTGGTATAACCAGTATACTTTTGCCTTTATCTCCTCTAATTTTTCATTCAGGCTTAGTTGAGTTTCTCCTATCTAAAAAATTACAGCAATGTCTCTATAGTAATAAGCTACTAATTAACTGCAAGGCTGTTGGGAGACTCTTGCGCTAGACCAAGACCAAGACAGAGTTCGAAAGACCAAGACTCATCTTACTAGAAGACTACGCAGGATAGAAAGAAGAAGGAACATTTGTAAGAAGAAAAAAAAATAGGTGTATAAACATTTATTTTTATTTGACTAGAGGAATAAAAAGAGTTTGCAAGACCAAGACTCGTCTCGGTCTCGCATTTGGGCAACACTATTGATTAATAATAAAATAAAATAAGAACAACTAATAAACGAAAATGAAGATAGGTCCTCTGAATAATAACAATAATGAAATTTAGAACAATATTAAATGATATTTATATCTCTATGTAGCAGTCCAAAATGAATCAATCTACAACTAATGCTAGAAAAATAACAACAAATATATTAATAATATTTAAAATAGAAGCTAAATGAAAATTTAAAAAAAATAAATAAATAATAGTGGCCACGTGCAGGTGACAATTTGTGTAAGTGGATGAAAGTAGCTTTTATGGACAAACAGCAGGCAATACTTGTCTTCATATGGTGACTTCATATTGATATATTATAAGCGCTTATATTATTTTGTAAAACTATAAATGAAGAGCGGCATTAGGGATAAAAGGACAATTTGTTAAGATTTAATATAATATTTTAAAACTTTTTTCAAATGTTGGGAAATGAAGTGCATATGTGAAAAAGAAAATGCATTATTTTTTTCACGTTATTCATTAAATACAAAACTTTCATGTATTATTTCTAAAAGGTATTCCAGTTATCGAGTATTCGATTAATCAAGAAACAGTAATAGTTTTAATTATTTTATTTTTTGTGGATTCTATAGACCATTAAATTACGTTTCAAGTTACCAACTGCAATATTTCAGAAGATGTAGAGTTTTCTGATTATTTGAAGAACTAGTAAAAATAAAACTGCCTTATGTGAGAACAAACAAATAATTTACATATTATTTCTCACATACATTTATTTAAGGCGTTTATCGCAATACTTTCCTTAATACTTCATCAGATCAAATTATTGAGCCTTCAATTTTAAAATAATGATTAATCCAATTGAAGAGTAATAACGACTAGTGCCAAAAAACAAGCACTTGCTTCAGAAAAAATGAAGATAAACAAAATAAAACTTAATTAACGTAAAATTCAAAAACTGATATATGTATGTTAAAAATTATAAACATGTTAATTTGAAAGGTTTGAAAATTCTCTGCAGAACGAAAAACATTGTCGAAATCGGACAATTATTAGCAAAGATATAACCTATTGGAGTTTTAAAACTTATTTTCAATAGGTAATAAAGGATTGAAATTTACTAACAAAAATGGAAAGAAATCATCCTTAATTTTTTTAAACGATTTATTTATTAAATATTACAACATTCTGTCACTTGGACATCAGTTATAATGAGGTAGGATCACACTCACACTATATGTAAAAAAAAAAATATAAATTAAACACAAGCGAAATAAATTAAATTAATTAATTTGATTTATTGAATATCCTTATTTTTTATATTATATTACAATTTGAGGTTGACCTATAGTACAGTATATGAATTATTCGCATATAATCCAGTCAACGATGGAGTTTTAGAGTGTATGTAGGATGGACAAGAACCGACTCTACTCCTTTCGCTTCATGGTGGATGGAGGGCACCTTAAAGGTCACTTTTTCCACAGTTTCTAATATATCTTGAAAATGAGGTGTCGCAAACGAAACATTATTGTATAATAAATTAAAGCTGACAAAATTTTCTTTAAGAAAGTATATATTCCTTACTTTCGTATCTTTTATACGAATCATTTTCGAGATATTCAATAACCTAAATTTCCTATTTTTGAAAAATTTATTTTCGTCTCATGTATCTTGTCAGACTTGTCTCTTTAACGGCACGGTTTTTCGTTCTGCAAGAGAATTGTTTGAAAGAAATATGTAGAATATCGTTTTTTCTTTAAAGTCATGTATCATTTATTAGTTTATCTTTTATGAGTTCAAAGTTACAAAATTTTTAAATATTTCGATACATATGTGAAAATATAATTTATTTATTTTTGCGCATAATTGTCCATCTCTATTAATGTTAAACATGAATGGTATATAGTATATGTTAATCAATACATATATTATATATTATATATAATATAATACTTTATTATTTATTTACTGGAGGCGAGGCTTGATTTCACAGCGCGACGTAAACGGCTGCGAAAAACAAATACAAAAACATTTATCGGCTATAATTTATACAATGCATTTACAAAAGTTAACAAAATAAATTTAAAACTAAAAATGTGTATTCAGAAACGACGGGGTGAGTGAAAAAAAAACCAAAAGATATGTCTTATCTGGAAGTTATGAAGTAGAAATCACTATTAAAAATAATAAGCTAAAAATAATAAGATAACCAACGGTATGAGCTAGGATCTGACTTTTTTTTTTTATTGTACAGTAAATATTACAATCTTCCACATTGAAGGGAAACAAGTAACAAGGCTAAATGTGTTCATTTATACCGTAAATACATATAATAGGGAAATCAAAAATAAAAATGAAAAAAAGAATGTGTAAACTAAGAAAAAGTAAATATAAACACAGAATAACGTACATAAATAATACATAAGCGAAATAAGAAATAAATCAGTAAGTAAAAATAAAATAAATCATCTTAACACATTCATTAACAGGAAACTGACTGACTTTGTATCTGTCTGTACCTCTAGGAAATCCATACCTCTGTAGGGGTATATCCTTGCAAATTTTTAACGCTATTTATCTTTGCATGACATCTTTTTTTTCATTTTGACGGTTATAAGTTAATCTTTGTTAAAGAATAAAAAAATGAAAAAGAAATTAAACGCAGGTGAGACTGATGTAAACGACTAGTTGTGAATATCTAGTTGTATTTTTAAACTAGTAGGGGAGACGAATAAATTTTTATTTCTAATATAGGTCAGTAATAAAAGGACAGAAATATCTTCATTAGATACTTAATTAGCGTTTTGGAACACTGATTGGAACGGTGATTCCAATTAAAGTTTCCAATAATATTACAGGAGACATGATAATTAAAATTCATTGATATTAGATAGACTTTTTATTTTGTTAATTACTGTAGATCCTTTCTACCAACCTAATCCTCTAGCTCAATCACTATTGAGCCTCACTCATCCATATAATCCTCCTTGAAGATTGAAACTGTACTGGCCCAGAGAATCTTTAGAAAATATTACTGTGTGGATCATAGCAGTAAATTAAGGTTCCTCGTCTGATTCCTTAAAAAATGTTAAAATTTGTATGCTGGTTTCATTTAAGATTAACTTGATAATTTAACATGCAGCAATGTTTGATGTTTTTATTTATTATGATTTACTTCTAGTGTGGGACTTGAGATGCATGCTATCATGTTGTCTCTTTATAGTATGCATTAATACTCACTATGGGTGATAAATATTCAGGACGCAGTCATTATAAGGTTTTAATTAGTGCCGACGTTTCAACCCAAACATGTGGGTCTATATCCGGACGTGGTTCGAGCACTGATGATGATTCACATCTTTGGGTTAAAACGTCTGCACTAATAAAAACCTTATAATGACTACGTGCTGAATATTTATCACCCATGATACGTAGAACAGTCGACTAACTTCCTTCAATAATTCATTAACATTTACCAATAATATTTATCAAGTAAAAAAAAAATCAAAGAAAGAAAGATAGTTTTCCTTGTACGTATTTGATATATCACCTTAAGATATGTATATTTGATTCCATATAGCTTCCTCAATATCGAAGGCTGAACCTCTTGCGGAAAGTTAAAGATGATTTTGTGTCCAAAATCAAACATATTCACTCGCGTTTTGCGTTTCAGGTATGAAGTGATAAAATTTGATTCTAAATGTGTAGGTCTGTAGTCAAATCGATGTGACGTGCATATCTATTACATACTATCGATTATACGATTTTTATTATTTTTTCAGGAATTGGGCAAATTTGCTCAAAAATGGTCCCATATCAACTTCATCGAATTCGCTTACATACGCGCAAATGTATTTTCATAAATATGCCTATATTTTAGAAAAAGTGAATGAAAGGTGA